GGGTATGAGTGAGTATGAGTGTAGATATCATTCTTCTCTTCATCTAAATCCACACTCAAGTCTTTACTACTGGATTTTTTTGGATGATATTGCGAGACTTTTTCAAAGCTTTGCATTTTGTCTAGCTAGGAAGTTTTGTCAAGTAATAATTCACTTTTGTGATAAGTCTTAACTCAGTAGCTAGGCTCTATCAAGAACAAAGAAAGATTGAAAGGATTCGTATCGATGAGTCGTTCTTCTTCTCAGATCGTCCTGAAAATGAACTTTCGAATTCAAACTTGACATAAATAAAGTTCTGCACGGGACTAGTCCGTTATGAAAGTGTCACATTTTCTATCATCAGATATAAAATTAAGGCAAAAAAAGATTGTTTTTCCGCATAAGAAAACTTTCAATATTGGTATTTGATACTTCTACAATGAATAAGTTCCATGAAGAACTTAGTTTGTGTCGAATTGAATTTGAAAGTCGATTTTGAGAGTTACAGATAGGTAATTTCTATAAAACATATGAATGTCAATTTCTTTTTTTTCTATCATAATCGCATTTTCCCTAAGAAATATTCGTTTCCACGACTCAGAATGAATGATTGATAAAAAAAGAAATAACGAAATCTTGAGAAGAATTTTTAAAGCAAAAACTTGAGGAGGACGCTTATTCTAAAATTTTCTCAAAAAATTTTTACTTTAAAATTCATTCAAATTTTGGGTGCTGATTCCGAATATTTCATTAGTTTTTTTAAGAAGCGATTTCTAGCCAGAGAAAACTCGATTTTATCAAAAAAAAATCCAAGGATTTTTCTACACTATTTAAATTTTGTAATAAAAATTTAAACGTCATGATATAGTCCATGGTTCAAAGTACATGTAGTATTATTTGAATCTTGAAAAAGTACATTTCCTATTTTTCACCTTATATTTATTTGACTGTCCATGATAAGGATGATGTGATAGGGAGTACAGCATTTTTTTTTGACACGCCAAGCTTTTTTTTGTGCTATCGTTATGCTCTTTTTGTCTATGAAAAGCGATCACGTGACTGAAAATTTAATTATCTTTCATTCCTACGATTTTCATTAGTAATGCGCAAATATTAATGCAATGACAAGCATCAATATGGTTATTACTATTTATCCTTGATTGGTCTATGATTAATGATGAGCATGCACACAGGTATACCTTATTTTGTGTTAGAAAAATAATTATGGTATACAGACAGTCACACTTGAATAAATCTGCACATATTTTTTTTTCTCTATTTAACTCTTTTTTTTCATTTTTGTTTTTTCCTTAGCCTATATTAATAGTAGGTAAATAAATGGTATTAGTTGAATACTACTCTCAAAGCATTTCTTGAGTGTCGTTCGAAAGCAATCCAATATGCGCACCATCGCGATTTGTATTATTCTCCTAGTTGTTTTATTCATGAACAAGATAGAGTCGGTTGCTATCAACAAACGATCTAAATTAGATTTCGAGAATAATCTAGACCTACGTCACATATTACTTCGCTCTTTTATGTTGAATGATGCTGCCAATAATCACGATACTCAAAAGAAAGCACTGTTCCTGAGAAACTGGCAAACAGATTGTTATCGTCGCTGTTATAACCTATATCAAGATAGTCCAAGCGTCCTGGCATGCATAAAACAATGTGAAGATCCGGGTACTGTCTAACACCGAATTTTGGTTCACTTATGAATAACGTGAAACTGATTATTATCCACGATGGTATTCCTTGAACTAATTTCTTTTCTTTGAAAATATTAACACTCTTATTCATTTAACATTCTAATACTGTGCACTAATTTTCGAAACTTCTTATCTTCTTTTATTGGCGTGTATGTTTTATCTATTTTTCTCTTTTTGACACTTTTTTTTAAAAATATTTTAAGAGATCTCTTTCTATATGTAGTAGTTTATTTCATAAAATTTAAATAATTAAATAACAATAAAATTACATTAAACTAGAATTAAAAATATTTGTTGACGTTTCGATATAGAATTGACCTCCATCAGAACTTATTGTTCCATGAACTATTGATGTTCAAAATTATATATATATTCTTTCCTTTATTCCTTTCATTCTTTTTTATAGTAGTACGAGATGAGAAAACCTAAATGTTGTCTCCTTCTGGTGTCATTGCCTTGTTCTATCCGTGCCACTATCAAAAAGAATAACAAAAGGAATAAAGGAAAAAGAATATATACATATCAGAGATCCGTGAGTCAGTCGAAAAACCACATCGTCACCATCTCTTTCGCCAAGGACCTAATATAAAGCAGACGTTTTCTTATGGATTTTTTCAAATTCATGTAAAAATTATTATTTCTTTTATTTCATAAGTTTAAATAAAGTACATGGTTTTCGGAAACTTATTGACTAAACAGAAAACTTTATATCTCCACGATGATGCTTTTGGATGAACTGATTTTTGTATTGATGGTAAAGGACGATTCAAGTTCTTATTCAATAATATGAATTTCTGAAATACTCTTACAAAGTAACGCTTCCAGATTCAATACATTTCAGCAACAATATATAAGGCTATCTCTTGATTTATTCGATTTTGTTTCATAATTGTGAACTTCTTGTCGTCCCAATCTATGTCCCTTCCTTTACAGACATTTGCTAGATATTTTTAACAACCTGGGTACATTAATCTCAAGTCTAGTGTCCGCGAAAACTCTTAAATCACATTGGTTTATTCGATTTACTTTTCATTAAAGTTTTTGATATGTGCAAATCACTTTGAGTTTCATAGATGTGTTAAAGAAACGTTTATCAAGGAAGGGAAATATATCGGAATGATCGGAAGTCCATAATAATGAAACAAACTAGAACAAATCAGAGAAACAGCCTTCTATATTGTTGCTGAAGTGTATTGAATCCGAAAGCATTACTTAGTAAGAGTATTTGAGAAGGGTGTGGATGTGGGTGTGGGTTTCTCCTTCACTTACACCCACACCCACACCCTGTTGGCTTCGTATAATTTTTTTAAAGAAAAAAATCTTTATTTCAAAGAAAAGATGAACATATTCAATTTTATACTGTCCCATTTTTTCATCAAAGTGTTATTGAACAAGTTTGGTTGTTGAACAAAATATTTCAAATTCTATAGAATTATCTTTCATTCGTTGTGCAAATTTTAAATAAACATCCAATTGCTCTTTAGTATATTTATATCTTTCCATGAAATAATTAGCAATTTTTTCCCGTATATGTTTCATTTTTTCTGGATTTTCAAGTTCATGAAGTTTTTCCATTTCCTTTTCGCTTCGATTCGTGCTGTCGCCTAACGATAGCATACGAAACAAATTAAAGCATTGCCCTTTCCCTCGACGTGGTATGAAATCAATAGTAGAACTTTCTGCAGGAAATACTTGAGATAAACCATCTAATGATTGAATTTTTTCTGGACACTTCTCATGTACTTGATCTTCATCCACCCAAATCTTATTGACAGAAAATCGCGTAATTGGTTGGTCATTTAATGATTCTCTTACATGACCACAACTAAAACCTCCAAGGAAAGACGAAGAATAAGCGAAGAGATGTGTGGATAAAACTGAGTGAATATATAAATCTGAAACTTTATAACTATCTGGAAGCATTTGAGCTAGAATTTTGTCATCATCATCGACTACTCTTTGCCATCCATATAATGATAAATGTGGTTTACGAAGATTGTCTAATTTTCTGAGCCAACGTTCTTCAATGAAGCTCAAGTCTCCTTAAAAGAGATAAGATCGATCAGAATTTTTTAACGGTCGTCAAAAATATAAAACATGATGTAAATACTCTTCCTTATTACAGAGAGATCATTTTATTATCCGTATTTATTTTAGACCATATTGCTTTATTATCCTCTTACTGGATCCTCGAAATATGTAATAATTAGATAGCTCATATTTGATATCAAAAAAGTCTGCTAATCTCTCCATCTTTTAAAAAATGATAGGAAAATTAAACTTATTACCCCACTAACTAGGAACAAGTTAGTCACGAAATTCTTGAGAAAATTTGAAAGAATCAACTTATACTACATAAATCTAGTATAATTGTTTGACTTTTATGAAATAAACTTACGTTTATAAACAGTAGTTTTCAAATGAATATTTGAGTGTCTTTCTTCTCTAGTAGTATCAATGATTCTGTTTTGTGATTTCATAATTTCAAGAAGTTTTGATGTTGATGATGTTCGAACTGTTTGATTTTCAATCAATGATTGTTGTTCTCCTATTTGCCTTCTTCGAAATTCATCAATATCTTGTTGTATGCAACTAGATCTTCTTTGTAAAAGAGAAAGAAAACCAGGTTTTGTATATCGTAACTATAATAAATCATCTGTTAATAATAAAAATCAAATTTAATTTATGATTATCTTACTAACTCAACTAATAATCGTCCATATTCTAGATCAAAGTAATTATCTGAACCAAATGAATGAAAAAATAATTTTCCTTCAAATAGATTATTATCCCAACCAAGTAAAGGATTATTTTGAATTTTTACTAGAAAAACTTTTTTATCTGTTTGAAACGCATACTCAGCTGCGTCTATACATTGTAAATTTCGATAATAATTTTCACTGATACACAATATAATACAATTGGATTTATCCATTTGAGAATATAAATTGTGTTTCTCTTCAGTTATCTCTGCATATGTTCCGACAGAAAAACCTTCTTCAGTTAATCGATTGATTAAACGTTTACATTTTCTTAGATCATTTTGACTATAATTAATAACAATATTGTACAATTTAATCATTTTCATATTAATTTTATCTTTAGATCGTGTTGAGTAATGAATAGCTGAACTCGAACGTTCTACAGTTGATATCGAATATAGTTTTTCTTTCATTAATTCAGAGAAGATATGAAACTTCTTTTTAGCTTCTAAAATACTAGTAGCTGGACCAATTAATTCTATTTCAGTTTTAGTTTCATCAAGTTTTGGTAATACACATCTATCTTTACAATATTTATAAAATGAATTTATTGTTTGTTGATCCCAAGATTGAAAAATATCATTTGAATGTATTATTTTTACTGTAGAAATACATTGTGAAAGATATTTGTTTAGTTGTTGTTTACATCGTGTTACACGTTCCATTGTTGACCCAATCAATGCTGTTTGAATGACTATAATGAATAGATCAAACAAAGGCAATCCGTTAAACGAGATCTTAAAATTTGGCGAGATCTTAAATATTTCTTCTTTTGTAGAACTTCGAAATCACTTAGACAAGTTTGTCAACGCAGCCAATTTTAAGCTAAAATTTGAAACTCATATGTGTTCTTTAACTTCATTCTATTTTAAAAAATATATTAAGAGAAAAGTATCTAGCAGATAAAACTTGTTTTTCAACGATAATTCGAAGGAAACGATCTATTCATTTCTAAAAAATGAATAATATTTGACATCTTACTTGTAGTAGGCCATTCGAGATATAAAGAAATATCATCTTGATTTGTTCGAGTAATAATATCAGAGAATTGTTCATGTAGAGTTTGCTGTTCAGGTAAACATACGAATGAAATTTTCAATTGTAACTTGTTTACTTTCAATCGTCGTTTGACTTCATTAATCATTTCTTCAACTAGAATACTTTCATTTGTACATGAATCTGGTACAACAAATGCGATCGATTGTGTATCTTTTTCTTTTACTGTATATTCAATAGATTTTGAAACAAATGTTTGTATTGATAATCGTAAAGCATTATCATTATTTATTAATGAAGTAGGTAACCAATTAGAAAATAAAATTCTTTTACAATATAATTTACCTCCATTGGTTTCAGTATACATTGCACCATCGATTTGTGAAAAAGTTTTTTCATATTCTATCTCACCTAATCGTTCAATGACACCATCTTTTAATCCATTGAACATTGTTGAAATGATGATTGTATCAACCTGAAAAATCAATCAATCAACAATACAACATTTTTTTTTCAAAATGATTATAAGAACAAACTTTTTGTAAAGCTATATCTCCTGTACGAAGTTCAATTGATCCATTGGCTATAATCAGTTTTTTAAAAACATCAGTTGAAGAACAAAAAAGTTCAGACTGTTCTATTATTGATTTTGATGTTTGTTTGTTGGATATCGTTGCTTTTGGTACAGGATACGATTGATAATTATGTTTTAATTCAGTTTTAAGATAACAACGATTATGCTGTGCAATAGATTTTAAATATTGTTCCTCTTTCTCAGCAATAGGCGTAAATAGTGGAATACTTTCAAGCATTGTTGTTGTTTTTGATGTTGATTGAAATAAAAGTTTTTGAATAGAAGATTCGATTTCATCTTTTAAATGTCGAGGAGCTGAAAATTCATTTAATCTTAATCGTAAACAAACACCAAGTTTTGCATATTTTCTTTCAATATTTGTCAATTCATTTGAATGAGTTTCCATAATAGATTGCATCTTGAAAAAATTCAAATAAATAAT